ATTAACCCTTGCACAGGCTGTGGAGATGGGTTTGGCATATGAAGTGACTGTTAAGAGAGCTCACAGCAGTTTTCCCAGAGGACTTTCAAAACACACGTTGTAGAAAGAAAAGGCGGTGGCAAATTGAACGTGAAAAATGCTAAACCATGCTACCGATGTAATGGAAGTGGACATAAACCCGAATGTTGCCGTTTCAAGGATGTTGAGTGCCGCGACTGTGGCAAGCGGGGGCATATCGCGCGCGCTTGCCGCGCACGTCTTAAAGAAAAGAACGACAGTAAGCCTGCCAAGCACCTGGATGCCTCTTTGTTGCCGAGTGAGGGTGCGCCTGATCCGGGGGTCGCGAGCAATAGTGAAAGTTATGCAGAGACGTTGCAGCGCCAACATGAAACTGTGAAACAATGAAACTCTCAATAGGCGAAGATGCCGGAGCACCTTGTCTCTGTGCACAGTCAATTACTCCCGCGAGTGGGCTAAAATCAGCCAGTCGTCGAGATAATTGAGCATACGGATGCCCACAAGCCAAAGGGGCACTAAGGCACCCTCCGCGAGTTTGGTGAAGACCCGCGGAGACAGAGAGAGCCCGAAGGGGAGGACCTTGTATTGCCACGCTCGACCTTTGAACGCAAACCGCAGAAACTGGCGGTGGCGCGGAAGAATGGAGACATGAAAATATGCGTCCTTCAGGTCTATAGCTGCAAACCAATCCTGAGGACAAACACATCGGAGGATGCGCTTCTGCGTAAGCATTCTGAACTGCAGCTTGTGAAGACAGCGGTTCAAAACGCGCAGATCTAGGATTGGCCATGACCCACCGCTCCTTTTGGGTACGATGAAGTACGGGCTGTAGAACCCGCTCTCTCTCTCTGCTGGAGGAACCGGCTCGATTGCATCCTTCGCCAGGAAGGCAGCAATCTCCTCTCGCAAGACAGGGGCGGACAGGGGGTAGACCCTGGTAAAATACACGCCCGTGACTTTGGGGGGCCATTTCGCGAACTGAATCGCGTAGCCGAGTCTGATTGTGGGTATGAGCCACCGTGAGGGGCTGGCCCGTGCTAACCAGGCAGGGAGAGCCCTCGCTAATGGCGTCATCGCTACAACTGCTGACGTACCAGAGGTGGGGCAGCGCGGAGCGGGTGTGCTGATCCGGGAAGCGCGAGGGTCCCGCGGAAGAGCTGGAGGAGAGCGATTCGCTCTGGCTCCGCACCCTGGCTCCGCACCCGGACTCCGTAGAAGGGGCAAGGGGCTCGGAGGCTGGCGGAGCATGTAGACCCTGCGACCTGAGAAGCCGCGCGTCCCAGACTGGTAGGGCTCCCAGCGCTCGTGAGCCACTGGCGGAGCGCACCGAACCTGTGAGCTAGAGAGCACAGTGTCTCAGACTGGCAGATTTCGGGCTGTCACATCCGGGGAATTGGAAAAGTGCCCTTTCATTTCATGGCAGTAAAAGGTGGCGTGAAAAATGGGGCCCCGCCCTCCAGCGGGGAAAGAGCAAGTTCCCTCCTCTCCAGATGACCTGTCCCAGGGACGCTTCGCGGTCCGTTGCCGGACTGCGTTCTGGGCAGGGGGGCGCGCCTGCTTCCGAGGTGCTCGACGCGCTCGCTTTGCCAGAGGCGTGTGTGAAGGCAGTGCAGCTCTCGTAGGCGGGCGCATTTGGCGAGGAGCAGGTATGGATGGCACGGTGGGCGGAGCGGGCTTACGGACCCGCTGATAAGACATCACCCATCAGACTGCTCTCTCACCGCTTCGAATTCCTGGGTGAATTCACAGACAGTGTCGCCATAAACATAAAAAGAGATAATTTGTTTTCGACCTGAATTTTTTAATGCACAAGTAGACATATCAAGCTTAATATAGATATCATAAATCATCATCTTTGTTGAGTATTTGCTGAGTTTCCTTTCATTTTATTGACGTGTTTTTCTGACCACAGTCTGCTCGCGCCTCAGACGCTTGTAATAACAATGATTCGTGGGCGTGGTCTAATTAAAACTAATGAGATCAGACTGAGAAACTAGACATAGCATTGGTTTCATACTGATTACTTTATCAAGCAAGGTTTGTTTTCAACATGCATAGCTGCATTTAAAAGTAGACACTTCAAGCTTTCTAGAAATACATGTCTCGTCTCTGTGCGTTTTGTATTCGCGGCGTTTCAGCTCATTTTACTGACACGTTTCTAAAAGCAGTTCATGGAGAGAGAAAAGACAATATGCCCACACTGTTTGTTTTCCTTATTTTGCAAAAGCACACACGTTTGTTGTTGTGAGTGTACACAACTAAAAGTAGACACATAACAGATTTAATTCAAGTATTGATCTTATCTGTACGATCAAAACTGAAAGTGTAATTTAAGTTCATTTCAGCAGTTTAATGACACCACAGGTCAAAACGTGTATATGCGGTCTTCGACCCCAGAGGGTTAACTCTACAGTACTTTAGTTTGCAATACCAAAATTTATTTGAACCAATATTTAGGCATTTTGCAGAAACTTTCAGTTAAAGCAATGTCTTGATGATTTAATTAAATACATCAAATTATAAAATCTACATACAAACCTAATCCACACCACCAAAAATGTGTTTTTTTTTTATTGTACAAAATACTTAAATACTTTTTAAATCCTTTTAATGATTGAGGATGTTTCCAAAGATATCACTGAAAGATTGTTAACTTCTGAAAGAAAAAATCATTATCATTTAAACAGACCATTTTAAACCTATTTGATTTTAAACATGACAATAATATGTACAAGAATTCTGGAAACCAAACCTTATCGATGTTCATTAACTTTGCATAGAGACACACATATCTTTGTTGTAACTCTCCATAGCTATACTGATTTTTATTTGGTACATTCTTTATATTCTGTTCTCTTTCCCAACTCCGATAGAAAACAATCTGCATTTTTACATTTTCAAAATACTTAATTTTAGATTACTTGTGAGCAGTTTTTCTCATGAGGACTAAATTAATGGTCCCACAAGATCAAAATTGACTGTTACTATACCTGAGAGGGTATTTTAATAATATTAAGTTATATTTATTTATAAACAAATTAGGTCTCACCTAATAATGTAGTCTTTCTTCTCAGTATCTTCAATTCGCTTATGAGCAGCAAAACAAAGTGTCCAGTCAAACATGCGTCGTTTATAATAATGAAAATTCCCCTGATGTGGCTGATAGGAGAAATTGAAAGTGTTTTTGTCTTCTGGTTGCAAGACTAGGCTTGACAAAAAATGCATTCTAAGTCTTGAGTAAAGTTATTGCCTGTTGCACCATCTGGGCGTAATGCACATTTGAATGGAAACCTTCGACATGTGTTCTAAGAAGGGCTTTACATTAACTTTTTTGATCACCAGCAACTGTGGCTAGTGGATTTCCAACATTACTAGTCACTTGCCATTTTTACTAGCTACAATTTTGTTGTTTGGAAAATATATTTTATATGAATAAATGTGTCTTTGACATGTTAAAATGACTTGATTTAGATGTTGTGTTGTACACATGCCTCCTAATTTACTTCACTGTTTGTGTGTGTTGTGTATGAGCTTGCTCACTGTGCATGAGCAAATGGATTGTGTCGCATTGCAATTGGTTTTTATTTCAAATAACTTTTTAGGGCTCAGAATAAAGGTTTTACCAAATTCATCTCAAAGCACACCAAAAAGAAATATTTATTTCTTAGCCACATATTTAAATGTGTCAAAACAACTTTTTATTCAACAAAACTGTTTTTTTTATGAACATTTAAAAAGATCTATTGTCATACATGTAAAATATGCACAGTAATCTTTCCTGGCTAAAGGTCCCAGATCAGCAGTTACTACACACAAATGGGTAGTAAATCTAATAATAAAAAAATGTTATTGTAAAGGATGATAAATAAACTATATTAACAAAAATAACTGTAAGCAAAAGAAAGCAGGTAACAACATACCACGAGGGATAATGAAAGGATGATCACGTGCCTGAGAATAATTAAAAGTAAAGCAGTGACTGCTGTTGTTGCTTACAAATATATATATTTTTCAATCTTGAGCTCTTAAAAGCAGTAGGACTGTGGGTACACGAGCTTCGTTTTTTCTCTAGTCTTTTTCAAAGAGAACCGATCGCAAGTAAACGGGTGCGCGTGCGCTTTTTAACAGTCACGCGCATCACATCACCTGTGCGCGCGAGTAATCATCCTCTCATACGGTATTCACCTGCTTTGTCTCGAACGAAATGTTATTGTTTTCAGTCGTGCTGCTTCTCGATTTTAAGATCACATTTGCACGCATATTGGGCCATCCTCATTGTCGAACCCTGCTTTAAGAAAACTACAATGTAAAAATTATTTCCAACCTGCCAAAGTGGCTAGTGGGAGCGGCTGTCTAACCCGCCAAAGCTGAAATCTACCCGCATTTGGCGGGTGCTAATGTAAAGCCCTGATTCTAAGGTAGGTGTAAAGTGAACAGTTTTGACTTGATGTATTAATGATATTAGCCATAATGAATAAAACAAGAAAAGACAATGGTGTGTTTGATACATTATCTACAAGTTTGTCAGGCTTTCAGGCTAGAATGAGTAATGAGAAACTGCACCAATACACTGAATTTTTTTGTGTTTTAAAAGAAAGTTATCATTTCTAATTAAAAATATTATTTTCATCACATCAGGCCATTCTGACCATTATTATTATTATTATATTATCTGACTGTCATTTTTAACTATGCTAAAAGTTTCTATTGAGATATAAAAATAAAGCTTTGAATGTCTGTCATGATATTTAATGAAGTCATTACCATAAAAATGCTATCTCTTTAGGTATCGTAATACAGACTATAAATTTGTAGTTAGCATATTCAATTTGCTTATGAGCAGTAAACAAAAGTGTCCAGTCAAATATGCGTCTATTATAATAATGAAAAATCGCCAGACGTGGCAGTAGGAGAAATCGAAAGTGTTTTTGTCTTCTGGTTGCAAGACTAGGCTTGACAAAAAATGCTTGTCAAGTCTTGCGTAAAGGCATTGCCTGTTGCACCGTCTGGGCGTAATGCACATTTGAAACGAAACCTTCGACATGTGTTCTAAGGTAGGTGTAAAGTGAACAGTTTTGACTTGATGTATTAATGATATTAGCCATAATGAATAAAACAAGAAAAGACAATGGTGTGTTTGATATATTATCTACAAGTTTGTCAGGCTTTCAGGCTAGAATGAGTAATGTGAAACTGCACCAATACACTGAATTGTTTTGTGTTTTAAAAGAGAGTTATCATTTCTAATTTAAAATATTATTTTCAGCACATCAGGCTGTTTAAGCACAGTCTTGTTTTAATGTTGTCTTTTATCAAACGTTCATCTGTTTTGTGTGCAGACAAAGTCGAATGAAACCTCTGGTGGAAAGAGAACTTCAGATTTCAGAAGGGCTTAACTGATCAATCGACAAGTCACAGCACATTACAAGAACTGAGCGCTGGGGCAACACTGCAGGTACCAATGGATTTTGGATTTCATGTTTTAGAGCTTAAACATTTATTGGAAAAGTGTAGTACAGTATATGTAAAAGTCAAATTAACCAAATTAAATAAGTATTTACTTAAATAGTTTAAATCCATTGCACTTACTGGGGAAAAGTTACTTGAACTCTGCTGTAACTGTTGAAGTTAACAAGATAGGTAAGTAACTACTAAGCGTTTGGTTGAGCATTTATGATAAACTTCTGCTACTAATCAAGATCTAATAAATTACTATTTAAATTAAATACCTGCTAAGATTTCAAAAGATAGAGTGTTTTATTTCAGTCGATTTCATAAGTCTGCAACTAGCATCAGTAGTATTTGTTATGTTTCAGTTCTTGATCTTGCTTGTTACCTTTTAATCTGTTTGATTTTGTCAACTGCTTGTAGAGACCGAATAATTGACCTTAATAGACAGCAATGTTATTTTTCTAAAACAATACTACAAAATATTCCAAAACTAATGTCACTTTTAACATAAATGCAAACCAAACATCACTAAAAAGACTAAAATATTTATGAAACATGCATACGATTTGTATTAGATGCTTTTAAAATGTTATTAAGATGTTTTGATATCCTAAAAAGTTAGTCCCACCATTAGAGCATATATGTAAAAATTACATATTCAACATAAATTGTTGTAAATCTTCAGCTTTTATTGCACATATCCAAGCTCGGTCTCATTTTAAAGACAGTTGTCAAATTGTTGTCGAAGTGAAAAAACTTCCCGTCTATTTAGCAAATTTTTGGGCAGTCTAAATGTCCCCTAATTCTGCGCATGCAGTAAACAATTTGGCATTATAACACGTTGCATAACCACAATATGTTGTCTTAGGGCTGCACGATTTGCAGAAAGAAAGAAAAAATCTAATTGCAATTTATTTGATGAAAATTGCGATTTAAAATTTGATTAACGATAATTTCATAAAAGCTGCTGGACTGACGGAAAGATTTTAACAGCACTAAAGAAAGACCATCATAATCCAGTGCTTCCCACACATGGACTTTACTTGGGCGGGCCGCACAGGTATATTAACGGTCATTATTATCATCTTTTTACACTTTTTTTGTATCTGCCCAATATAAACAAACATCCGCCAATGATTAAGTAGTGGAAAATCATCTCTCCCTTACCCTCCTTTTCATACTGCTCGTTCTCAGTCTCGTGTGCTCTACTATGGCGGCACTTCGATTAATATTGGCATAGATATGCCTCCATACTCTACAGACCCACAGAGACCCGCACCTTTTTGCGTCCAGCCGGTGTTTATAAAATCTACTAAAATGTCCGGGATTTGGTTTTACTTTTGCTTTCTGAGCTGTCGTTAATTTTCATGCGCACAGCTAAGTGATCGAGAAAGACATTAAATAAGTAATTATTTATTCTAAACAACTTAGAAAAACGGCAACGCAGTAGGTAGTGCTGTGGCCTCACAGCAAGAAGGTCACTGGTTCAAGCCTCGGGTGGGTCAGTTGGCATTTCTGTGTGGAGTTGGCATGTTCTCCTGCGTTCGCATAGTTTCCTCCGGGTGCTCCGGTTTCACCCACAGTAAAAAGACATGGGTACAGGTGAATTAGGTAGGGTAAATTGTCTGTAGTATATGAGTGTGAATGACTGTGTATAGATGTTTCTCAGAGATGAGTTGCAGCTTGAAAGCCATTCGCTGCGTAAAACAAATACTGGATAATATATTGGTTCATTCCGCTGTGACAACCCTAGATTAATAAGGGACTAAGCCGAAAAGAAAATGAATGAATGAATGAATAATATCAGTTTTAATCAAATTTATAATTAGACTCAGAAAAACTCTGAAAACTAAATACTCAGAGGTCGAAATTACATCTAAATTGGCTGCAGAACATTTGTACACCAATAGAAATGTGTAATCAACTCATTTGTCTTATTTAAATAATCTACACCTTTTAATCTTGTAATTATTATTATTTTTTAGAGATATTGTCTGTTTTTATTCCCTTTTCTGTAATTTATTTCTCATTTGCTGTATATTTATTTATTTTGCTTTAGCAATACTGTGCAAAATGTTGTGCCAATGAAAGCAACCTAAACTTCAATGAGAGAGAACAGATTTTATCTGTCAGTGGGTGCACATGGCTCCTGAATAGCATAAACATTTTAGTTTAAGATCGTTTGTCAATATGCATGCAAATGGGTTCTTTGAACAAAGAAGCAGCATGATTGATAAATGTTTGTGCGAGCAAACAAATGCAGGTGAATACTGAATGAGAGGATGCAATGAATGGATCAGACGCACAGTGATGTTGTGAGCGAGGCACAGCTGATGTGATGCACATGAGTGTCTAAAGATTCCCGTTTCTTTCCGCAAAACAATCATGAAAACGCAATGGGTGCAAGTGTTTCTCTTTGAAATAGATTGGAAAAAAAGCAGTTGCTGTGCAACCACAGTCCTGCTGCTTTCACTTGAATTCAGATCAGGGAGGCAGTTCCTCCCAATCACACCTCTCCAAGTATCATTGTCATTATACATGTGGGCATTGAAGTCCCTCAGTAGAACTATGGAGTCCTCAGTCTAAGCACGTTCCAGCACCCCTCCCAAGGACTCCAAGAAGGCCGGGTACTCTGCACTGGTGTTTAGCCTATGACCTGAAGGCGAAGGGAGGCAACCATCTCGTTCACCGGGGAAAACTCTAACACATGGTGGCTAAGCTGAGGAGCTATAAGCAAGCCCACACCAGCCTGCCACCTCTCATCGTGGGCAACTCCAGAGTAAAAGAAAGTCCAGCCCTTCTCCAGAAGTTAAGTTTCCAGAGCCCCAGCTGTGCGTGGAGATGAGCCCAACTATCTCTAGTCGGTACTGTTCCACCTCCTGCACAAGCTCAGGTTCCTTACCTACCAATGAGGTAGTCCTAACCTTCAACCACCACCTGCTCCACAATGCACTGGCCCCTTTCGGCTCCCCCTGCACGAGGATGTTACCACGTTGCTACTTCGAACTAAGCCCAAGCCCCAATCCTGACTCCAGGGTAGGGTACTGCTACTAAATTCAGCTGAACATAAATTTGATTTAATAATCTATTTATTAGCTTACCAAACTAATTCATGCATAGGCTAACTCTGTTTATGTGGAAAATTGATCCCCATTTAAAGAATGCCATTTGATGGCATAGAAACCTTGAATTGTTTAACCTAAGACTAGCTGGACCAAAAGAAAAAAAACGACTTGAATTGCTTGACATTACGCAGTTAACTTACTAACTTTAAAACAAGTTAACTTGCTTGATTTTCACAAAAAAAAAAATGACATGTACAAACTTGCACATGTGTGACTTACTCTCACCTAGGGCTGAGCGATAATTCAATATCGATAATTATCACGGTATAAAAATTTTTCGATAAAACGATAATGACAGTTCAATAATTGCTCGATAATATTTACGCACTATGCGTAACGTTGCGCAAGCATTTTGCAGCCTGCCCTTCCGGATGCCGCACGCCGTACAAGTTTACAGCCATACAGTGTTAGTTGCAGTGAAAGGAGTAAGAAAGAAATAAGGTAAAAAAGGTCAGTCACAGACATTGTTGACAAGAAACGTCACTAGACTTCATGAGCTACTTAGTTTTTCACTATCCGACACAAAACAGAGCAACGTGCACCGCAAACTGCTTAGACGACTCGTGTCATCAAATGCAGGCAACACCACGACCTGTTTCACCATGTAAAACAAGACCACCCTTATAAAGATGCTAAGAAATTACAGACATTAACAAGTGTTGGCAAACCAGCGCAGCTACCCAGCAGAGTCTCTATTCATCAAATTCGAAAGCTGTGCCTCTTTTTCACATATGTTTCTATGCTTAGCTGCTTTGATACAATCTATTTTGTAAAAAGTGCAATAGAAATAAAGATGAGTTGAACTGAACATCTGGCAATGCCAGTATTAATAACCCAGTGTTTCCTCTAGGATTTTTTCCAGCTGTGGTGGCAGGCCTACCAATTACTTGTGTCGTTATTTCAATGACAAATGTCAAGAGCGCAGTATTAAGTCGAGATCGTGTTTATGTAATAGCCTACGGCCAAGCCAAGGCTAGACTCTGTGTTCTGTGTGTCACTTAGTTGAGCAATAGAAGCTTTTGTACTGGATTTTAAAGGCTGCAGTGTTATTCATGTCCAAGCAATGGACACACCTGCCACCACACAAATTAGGCATAGACATTACTAGGCAATGTATTAACACTTTTTAAATGCTGAAAGTCGTACTAAACACAAATTCAAATTAAGACACGTGGAGTATTCCTATTTTAGCCACATTATTTAAGTGCAAAATAGACACATAAACACCATAATCAAACTATTAACATAGTGTAGATCATTTTGCAAGAAGATATGTCATACACATACAGCTGTTTGACACTACCACAGTGTCAGCAAATGACTACAGACCTTCTGAGTCAGTAAATGACCACAGACTCACATCTCCGAATGCGCACACACAGTGAACTGTTGGAGACTCGTCACACCTGCCATTATCATCACCGAACACACTTTTATGCTGTCTGGCAAAAGACGAAGTCTTCTTTTTATTTGAGGTGCGGTATTAAACTACATAAAAACAACTCTCTATCAGTCCTTACTTCATACTCACATCCAGTAGCTCAGAGTTTGCTATAGGGACATGAATGAAATGTTGCTAAATGTAAAACTACTTATACATTTTAAAAAGTTGAAGTTTAATTTGTGGAAAATAATTGGTGAAATTGTACAGAGGAAAAGCCAGTCAGTAGAGTTTATAGCAAAATATTTTGCAGTATTTGCATGTCCTTTACTGCATAGAATTCATTAAAATAGAAGTAAAATAACATTACATACAATTGATTTTCAAAAAGCACTTACTGTTGCGTTTCGTGATTTCCTTCTAGTTAAATAAAAATACTATTTTCATTCTAATATCATTCTTTATAATAGTTTAAAAATCTTGTTTCTTTTCTTATTCTCATGATAGAAATATTGTCTCCATTGTACTTTTCAAAATGGTAATGATCATTGTTACTAGGGATGCTACGATTGATCAGCCAATAATCGCATTTAATGATTTGATCAGTACTCACAAATCTAGCCCATCTTATGAACCAATCACAAGTATTTGTTTATGAGTTCAAAGTGAATATGCACATGTGCACCTGGGTTATACAGATAGCAGCACTACAACATGTCAAGGGCAAAATGATGTGTGGGGAATAAGCGATTGCTGACCACACGCCACAACAGCTAAAATTTAAACAGATGTGGTGCGACCTGTTTATTTAGCTTATTGGTCCAACTCGCATCTCTTTGTTGCAACCATTAATAATAATAATTTTATTTATATAGTGCCTTTTCAGAACTCAAGGACACTTTACAATGAATGCGACAAAAAGATAAACAAACATACATGAGGTCAAATATAACAAACTGGAATTACACAAACAAGATCTAGGAGACATATGAGCAGAGTGGAGGTGGATCAGATTAAGTAGTCAGTTTGGCAGATCAGAAGCGAAGCATTTAGAAAATGAGTGAGTCTTAAGTAAGGATTTGAATTCAGAGATATTATTAGCAGAGCGGAGTGATTGTGGTAGAGAGTTCCAGAGTTTAGGTGCAATAACACTAAATGATCTGCCACCCATTGAAGAGATGCGGTACTGAGAATCAGCAAGAAGGCCAGAGTCAGCAGAACGTAATGAACGAGTGGGGTGTAGGGGATAAGCATGTTGCAGAGATAGGAGGGTGCTAGGCTATTTAGGGATCTAAATGGAAGGAGGAGAATTTTGAGTTCAATGCGATATGCAACTGGGAGCCAATGGAGGTTGTACAAGATTGGGGTTATGTGAGCAGAACGTTTGATATGAGTGAGTATTTTAGATGCAGAGTTTAGAATATACTGTAATAGGGTTGTGCCGATAGACGATTGTATCGTGTATCGACGATAGGCAAAGATATCGCTGAGAGCTGAAACCTGTGACGATTTTAAAGACGATATTTAGCTCGTTTTGCATTATTGTGGACGTATTACATGTTTTATTTGCATTATTGAATAAAATTAATAGTATTACTATTTTTAATCATCATTATTAATAATAAAGGAACTACAAATAATTTGACAGCTTCAGCTGTTCACATCAACATCACTTGACCGACACTTTTGGATAAAAATGCATTATTTCGACTGCACTCTTGCGCGCTTTCTCTCTCTCTCTCTCTCTGTCTCACTCTTACTCACATTTTCACATTTTAGGTGCTTTATTGGCATGACAAATAACTGTACATTTATATTGCCAAAGCAGTGCATCATCGCTGCGTACTCTCTCTATGTCTCTGTCTCAGCAGCAGCAGTTGAAGTGCGAGCTGCACCTGAGGGCACAGCCAAATCTCATAGCAAAGTAGTTTGCAACTTTCTTTCATAGGCCTAAAAATAATAGGCTAAATAACAAAACAGGATTTAATTAACAAACAAGTTAAATAAAACAATTTTTAAAAATGAAACAACTGAAGAAGAAAGTGAAAGAACTCTGAAACCAGCTTAAATTTTCTGGAATAAAATGTGTTGCGGTCGTTGGTCATTTGAGATTGCTTTATAACAGCACTCCCGCAAGATTCTCTCTTGCTTTCATAAAAAAAGCTATTTATCTTTTATATATGTTATTAATCGCCTATTTAAGTTTTAGGGTGGTCTATAGCCTATTTTTTCAGTGCGTGCATTGATAGCTTCTTTAAATACACGGAATATATTTGTTAATTTGTGTTTAATTTGATAGAATGAAAAACACGGACATGCACCTTTTTCAGAAAATAACATTTATTTATTTTAAAAATATGTGTTTGGCCTATATTTATTTATAAATGTTATTAAAATATATTTTATTTATTTATTTAAAGTAGCCTACATTAAATTAAAACCTGTATTTTACCATTCGTTTTGGCATTAAAGAATTATTGAACAGATTATAAATAACTTATCAAAGAACAATTTACTGCGCTCAGTGAAAAGTTTTAAGTCAAACAGGCTATTTGATATTAGAGCAATATAAGCTATTGCAGACTCGCCGCAGTCATGTCTAAAATGAAACTCTCATCAGAAAACAATAAATACATTTACATTGCCTATCCCAAGTGCAACATTGTGTTAGATCTTAGCAAATACAAATGTGACACTGTTGATGATTACTTTTGTAATAGATTAGACCTGAAGCCGCACTGTGCTTACTCAACAAAACATTGGAAAACCTCACCACGTAGAAACGTAGTCACTTTCGGGCGGCGAGTCCCGTCTGAAAGGACCAAAACGCATCCTTGTTTCTATGCATAGATAAATATCATTTCATTTGCTTTCATCCATGTGTATTACATCCGTCTCGCAGGCCGAGGATAACGTAATGACCCCAAAGTCACAATCAAATCCTGTCCCATATATATATATATATACATACATACACAAACACACACAAACATAACACTGCTGCACCCCTCATGCGATAGTACCGTGTATCGGCGGTACAGGGGGGGTGATATGGCGGTCTGAAAATTTCGTATATAGCCCAACACTATACTGTAATTTGGAGATGAGGCTGGCAGGCAGGCAGGCCAATGAAAAGAGCATTACAGTAGTCAATGCAGGGCTCGAAATTAACTTTTTTACTTGGTAGCACCGGTGCTCCCAACTTCATATATTTAGGAGCACCAAAAAATTTTTAGGAGCACCAGAAAAAATTTAGGAGCACCCACCAAAAATGAATGAGCACAGCTGCAAATTGTTTTTTAAGGGATTTATTGTATTTTAAAACAACATTAATAGGACTGACAAAAAACAGAAACAACTATCTAACTAATGCTGCGAAGACATTGATATTTGTGAGCAATAATTCCAAAATTAATGTCTAATAATTAGGCTATAGAATATAAATGATGATAAAAAATGACAATAATAGTAAAAATGAATTACATTTCTCATTATGATACTGCCTTGAATGTGCATGAATGTAGGTTATCTGCTATTAAAAGTCTGTTACTTTATGAAAAATAATTGTATAGTTTACATCAAACAAAAATGAAGCATTGCAGTAAGAAAAATTTATTTTGTGCTGCTGTTTTTATATGCATGTCAATTTAATAAATAATATTTCTGCAACAAAACAAACAAAAGATTATAATAAATCATTCAATTCAATGATGAAAGCTGCAAATCAGTCATCAGTAAATAAATAAAAAAAAATAATATACACCTCAAAAAAGAATAGACAAAAGAAAGTAAGTAAAGTCTCACTTCTATCACTCTTTAAAAGTTTTGGTTTCAGTTTGTGTCAATTTAAAGGTTCAGTCTGAGCTGATCTTCATGTTTCTGTGTTAGTGGAAAAGCTGGCGAGTCAGCCGACCCAATTTATGAGCAGGCAGAGCAGGTTTCTTGCGCTGACCACCGGCCCAATACCGTTCTTTGTTATGAGCCGCAGTTTCAGTGTAAACTTAGTAAAGGCGAGCTCCTTTGGCGATGATATGTACAGTTTTAGATTTGACTTTTAGCGGACATTTGCGCTGAACACACAGTGAATGCAACACATGGAGATTCGGGCGCCTTCTCCAAGAAGCGCGTACTCGATTGATCTCAGCTGGCGGATCATTATTCACCACGTGACGTGTCATGATCGCTTTCAGCTGCGCCTCAACTTTAGGTGGGGTTTGCAAACCTGTGTGCTTTAAGTTTTTACTCTTCTGCCGTTTGCATTTCCCGTGGTCATAAAAGCTCCTTCCCTGTCATCTGACAGCGGAATACCTTGAGTGAATGACAGCTAATATGAACCAATATAGCGGCAGGGAAGAGCGATTCAGCACGTTTTTACAAAAAATCAAAACAGGTTGCACTACAACCATTATCTGCAGTCGCACTAATGCGCCCAGATATATTATGAGGTCGCATAGATTAATTTTCGGGCGCATATGCGACCAAAATGGTCGCAATTTCGAGCCCTGCAATGCATACAGTAGACAAATGCATAAACGAGGGAAGCAGTTGGGAAATGCTACGTAAATGAAAGAATGCAGATTTAGTGACAGATTTAATGTGAGACTGAAAAGAGAGTGTGGAAACAAAGATTACACCTAATTTTTTTTTTTTTTTTTTACAGAAGTAGACATTTTAATGTGCGAGCCAGCAATCTCACAGGAGAAACTGGTGGAAATATTGCTGGTAAGTGCTGAGGTGCCAATAAAAATCATCTCAGTTTGGTCAGTGTTGAGTTTCAGGGAATTTGAGGTAAGCCAATCATTAATATCCTTCACACAAGCAGAGATATTGTCAATTTGGGCGGATGAGGTAGGTGTACAGACAGAGTAAAGGTAAATATCGTCTGCATAAAAATGATAGTTTAGACCATGACGTTGTAGAATCAGACCAAGTGGGTTTAGGTAAATTGTGAACAATAGTGGGCCTAGAACAGATCTCTGGGGAACACCTCGCTTCAGGGGGAGAGTGGGTGACTGAAAATCCTTAACAGAGATTGTTAGATGTATGTGCGTGTATACACTGGGTGGTCAACATCCATTCCTTAAACCCGGTCAGAGGTGAACAGGCAACATTGACGACAGTATGGTCTGCACATTGATTTATTCAATCCCATCTTCAAACAGTTTACACATTTAGGAGTGCATTTAGATTTGCGTATTTGGGTGCATTTTTGTGTCTGTGTGTGTGGTTTCTGAAATAAAACAATACCAATAGATTAAACAAAGCTCTTAAACAAATATTCTTGAATGACAATAAATAAACATTACTGAATGGGGAATAATACAAGGTAATTCCGCTAATGGCCACTAGTCTTGTACCAGTTATAACAAATAGCAGCCATGTAAACTCGCTACATGTTGTATAATCGATCAATACAACTTGCTATACATTACATAAACTGATTTCAGTATCTTTGAATACTACTTATAAATGTATAAACACCTTATAGTTTCAATTAGCATTATTTGTATAAGTATGTGCTGTAAACATTGATTTTAACAGTCTATTTATACAGATCTATCAAGCAAACTCTTTTAGCTGAGGCATCTTAAAATACTGAGGTAAAACAAAACAGTATATATTAGAAAGTATACATATACACACTTTTAGCTAACAATAAATAGTAATTTGAACTTACATTCTCATGAACGCACACACATCAACAAACTACCGTCTGTCTCATTGCAGCACTGGAATATTCTGAGAACCGAACATGTCTGGGCACGTCCGTAACTCCACCCACATGTGACGTCACACAGTTATCAAAGTAAGAGTTCAACAGGGATTTTATACAGAGATGAAGAATTGCCAATCTGAGAGATATGAAGAGAACCAAGAGAGAGCAGTACCAGAAATACCCAGATCAGAGAGACGTGAGATAAGTAAATAATAAGAGACTGTATCAAAGGCAGAGCTGAGGTCGAGTAGCAATAATATAGACAAGGAGCCAGAATTTCCAGATAGCAATAGATCATTCACTACCTTTACAAGTGCAGTTTTGGTACTATGGAGGGGGCGAAAACCAGATTGAAAAGGGTCCGAGAGATTATTATCAACTAGAAAAGACTGGAGTAGGGCAGCAACAGTACTAACTACTGTAAATATAGTGGTTTTAGGTTCTGTGACGTGAGCGGAGCAATCAGCCACATCTTTTGTACAACCGTATGTCCTCTCCTGTAAGCTCTGCGCTTCTGTACACACTAAAATGTTTTAAGAGACTTGTTTAAAATTACATGCAGTAATAATAATGTATAGGATTATATGCAGCATTCTATTATTTTTGGTAAGGGGAGACCTCCACATACGTATCATACTTATAGGAAAAATGTGCTTCATGCAATGACAAAGTTATATAAAGCTTAAAGCATCAAAATAGCTACTTGGTATCGGCCAATCACCATGACAAGAAATAGGTACTCGGAATCAGCTGGAAAAATCCTGATCTGAGCATCCTTAATTGTTACCATGCTACAAAGTTGCAATTTGGTTAATCAATATCTGTTGTAGATGTGTTGGTTACAGGTTGATCCATCTGATCATCTTTAAAAACTGATTTGATAATTCCAAACAAATCTCTTGAATTACAGTTTTTGATATAAATTAACCTTTCCTGCACAAAACAATATAAACTACACAGCCAACATCTACTGGCTAATGTTTTTTATTGAAACAAATGTAAAATACATGACTGCTACAGTAGTTCTAAACTGCTCCAAGACATAAGCTGATTATATATTATGGGGATTATAATTTTATGGATTTCTGTATATTTCCCAAAGATGGGTTGTGGCTGGTAGGGCATCCGCTGCGTAAAAACTTGCTGGATAAGTTGGCGGTTCATTCCGCTGTGGCGACAAGAAAATGAATGAATGGATTTCTGTTTTAAAACCATGTGTATTGTGAACATCCCTGTACAAATAAACAGATCAAATTAATTCTGTTTGAATTTAATATTATTAATTACAATTTAATATTTTGTCATATTTTCTTTAAAATCTAAATAATAAATTAATTGAAATATTGATGTCTTTATCAGGGGAAAAAGAAGACACCATTCTGAACGAGGGTCAGTACAGATGGAAATGAATCAACTGTTTCAAAGACTCCAATTACCCGACAAACTAACAGCTGCAGATGTTCTTCAGATAAATGAACATTCAACACAGTCACATGAAACCTGTGCTGAAGAAGAGCTGATTCAGACTTTCATGCAAAAACTACTGATAAACAACTACAGGGCAAGGCATATCAAAACTAAAGTTAACAGTGAGACCAATCAAACAACGCTAAGTGTCTGAAGATGAGAGTGATATTTTTGATGATGTTCTTAAAAACAATAGATCAAGTCAGCCCACTCTTATTCACCCGATGGATGTTCAGATGGCTGTGTTTCATCGTGCTGATGGTTTCCTGAAGCAGCTGATGGGCACTAAACTGTCCCAGTGTCAGTTCGCTCTACCTCTGCTTGTTCCTGATCCAGAAACACAACAGATTGAGTTTCCTCTCTGGACATTCAGACAAATCAACAAGAGCTGGAAGATCAGAAACACCAACAATGAAACCATCAGTCAAACCCAGCCCATCTACAAGGCACAAACTCCAATGGTGTTTTTCTTCAGGTTTGACTCTGTGTCTTCATCCAAGTCTCAGCTGATGAACAGTCTGATCAATGACAAACACAACACGTTCTTCCACAGGAACTGCCCAGGCAGCAGCAGATCCAGAGTCCTGATGGATGGAGTGGTGGAGATCGCCTGGTTCTGCCCTTCTGGGAGAAACACAGATACATTTACTGACTGTGTGGCCTTCTGTAATCTACATGGAGATGCAGGAGACCATGAGAAACAGTGGAAGATCCTCACTGAGATGGCCTCAGTCAATGTGGTTCTTCTACAGCAACTTCAAAAGAATAAAAGAAGCACAGACATGATCCAAAGCCTGTACAAGAACAAAAAGCCACTTATTTTTCTTTTTACTGAAGATGAGTCTGTTGTAACTGAGATGAAGAAGGGGAAATACAAGATCGGTCTGAAAGACAGAAATCAGTCAGAAATATCTGAAGAACTCAGAGGAGTTATAAGTGATTGTCTCTCAGAATCATCTTCCACTGTCAGACTTGTAGATGTGTCCAAACACTCGGACATGAGAGTAGATGAGGAAGTTAATAAATACTGCAAGAAAGGAAGAGCAGCAGCACAGCAGATGATCAGTTTACTGGAGGAGAAAAAACTGACAGAAATCAAAGAATCATTTCTGCCTCATCAGGGGAAACTGTGGCATCAGTGGAGTCAGAAGAACAAAGAACTACATCGACCTCAAGGAGATGAGATAGAAATGGAAATCAGTAGAAAACAAAAAGCGATGATGAAATTTCGTAAACAGCAGCATGAGTCTGACATCAGTGAGTTTATAAAGCTCTTTGTTAAAAAACTTAACAAAGATGATAAGCATGAAAAGATGTTTTTCCTCAAATGGCTCAAAATTCTCTTGGATGAACACACATCAACTGAACTTTCAGCTCTACACCACAAATATAATGAAAAGTGGTCAACAGTCCTGAAACTGAAGAAGAATTATGATAAATTTGAAAAAATCAAAGCAGAACAAGCTGAACTGGAGAGGATATCTGAAGATCTGCAAGCTGCAGCCTTTGGTCTGGAGCACATCATGAGGGAGATCGGTCAGATCTATGAATCATGTTCATCTGTGAAGCAGAACAAGAAAGATCTGCCGGTTCACTTCTCTTCTCTCCCGAGTCTCGCAGCAGAGATGATGATCTCTGGGTTTCCACTGGAGCTGATGGATGGAGATGCTGCTCATGTTCCTCTGGTCTGGATCTCTGCTGTTCTTGATGAACTCGTCCAGAAACTGGGAGACCAGACCAGAGTCTTTGTGCTGTCAGTTTTAGGGATCCAGAGCTCTGGGAAATCCACCATGCTGAACGCCATGTTTGGACTCCAGTTTGCAGTTGGTGCTGGCAGGTGCACCAGAGGAGCTTTCATGCAGCTGGTCAAAGTGTCTGAGGAGATGAAAACACAGATGAACTTTGACTATATACTGGTTGTTGATACTGAGGGTCTTTGTGCTCCAGAACTGGCTGGAAGATCAACAAGACATCATGACAATGAATTGGCCACATTTGTTGTCGGTATTGCAAATCTAACCTTAATCAACATCTTTGGAGAAAACTCATCTGAGATGCAGGACGTTCTTCAGATTGTGGTGCAGGCCTTCTTGAGGATTAAAACATTTAAACAAAGCGGCAGTTGTGTGTTTGTGCATCAGAACATCTCTGACTTCATAGCTGGAGAGAAAAACAAAGAAGGAAGGAGACGACTGCTGGAGAAACTGGATGAGATGACGAAACTTACTGCTGAGGAGGAAGGCTGTGATGCAGAATTTTTTGATAAAGTCATAGGATTTGATGTTCAGAATGATGTAAAGTATTTTGCTCAGCTCTGGGAGGGCAGTCCACCAATGGCTCCACCAAACCCAAAGTATTGTGAGAATATTCAAGATCTAAAGAAAACCGTTATAGCTCATGCCTCAGAATCACATAGAACAGGGCTGAAAGACTTAAGAGATTGTGTCAAAGATCTGTGGGAAGCTTTACTAAAGGAACGATTTGTCTTCAGCTTCAGAAATTCTCAGGAGATTTCAGCTTATAAAAAACTAAGGACCCAATACAGCAAGTGGTCCTCAAGTGTTCATAATGCTATGGAAAAAATTGAGAACAAACTACAAAATGAAATAGAAAATGAAGTAATTCATGAGGTTGAGGAATCTGATCTTCAAAGAGAACTGAAGAAGACCAGTGAAGAAGTAGAAAAATCAATGACTGAATTCTTTGAGAAAGGCAAAGATAAAGATATACTGATACAGTGGAAAGCATCATTTGAAATCAAAATCAAAGAGCTACAAGAGAACATTGTGAGAGAAGCAATAAGGAAATTAAATGAGATTCTTCAGCAACGAGACCAAAAGAAAAACACTGATGCTCAAAAGACACATTATAAAAAATCTCTCAATGAAAACAGCAAAGAACTTCCCATAAAACTCAAAGTCAAAACAGCTGATCCAGAAACACCTAACAAAGATGAAGACTACAAACGAGCAGCACAGCAGCACTGCAGAAAAACAGCAGTGCAACAAAAGACTGATGCTCAGAAGAAACATCAAGAAAACACTATTCATGAAAAGGCCAGAAAACTTCCATTAAACGACAAAATAAATGAGGAAACACAGAAGAAAGAGCTTGATTCATTTAGGGATTGTGGTTTCAATGAAAACATCATCTCAGAAACAGTTAAAATCAAAGACATTGACGTAATGAGAGATGTCAGAGAGATCCTTCAAATCATCTTCAAAGACATCTTCAAATTTGACCCTGCAAACTTCATTAAAGAGAACTCAGAGGAACATAATATTCTAAATTCAAAAAACTATAAGAAATATTTTGATTCAAAAACAGGGTTTAAAAGATGCATGGGGAAAACATTTGTTTGTCACAGTACTAAAAAAAACAAAAGAGAGGAAATAGTGAAAGAATTAGTGAGGGATGTTGATCAGCAGACAGATAAAATGATCAAGTCATTCAACATTTCAAAAACTGGCTACAATAAAACCTACATTGAACAAATAATAAAGAGCATCATGGCCAGAGCAACAGAGCATCAGGAAGGACAAGAAAAATATGAGTTCACGGATGAATTATTCATTGACTTGATTCTTTTTATCTGCAAAAAGGCTGACAAGACGATCACTGACCAACACAGAATGTTCAGAGAAGCCAATGATCCTGAAATGATCCAATGATTGCTGATATAACATGATCGGGCCAGTAACAATTTTCTCTACTGTCCCGAACATCCTTCACGCTGGCCCCGGGCCATCGGGCAGTCCTTATTGTTGAGCCATGCCTTAGGGTGCTTTCACACCTACACTTGTTTCGGAACGTGTCTCATTTGCCCAGTTAGCGCGGTTCGTTTGTCATATGTGAACAGGGCAATCGCGCTCTGTTCCACGCCAAAGTAATCGCTCCGAGATCGCTTGAATGAGGTGGTCTCGGCTCGACTGAAACGAACCCTGGAGCGGTTTGTTTGCAGTGAGAAAGCAATCCGATCCGAGCGCGGTTATATCACAGTGTTTTATGGATATGTAATAGGCGTACGGCTATATGAAGAGAGAATTATGAGTAGGGCGGGAAGTTTCGCGAGTCTCCGGATGCCCGCAAACGAATGATGATCTCCCGGTAATCTCGCGTCTCCCTCCCGGTCCTCAAATAGGCATCGTCGCGCACCCTTCTCACCCCTCCCCACCGCATCTCTCCTCAGACATGTCGCGCGCACCCTGTCAATCACCACCAAACCACCACCTCTCCTGACAGCTGAGCAGGACGCTGCAAAATAAACTGACACTCTGACCAATGTGAGGAGAGTTTACTCGCACGTGACTTGTTTTAGCTCTTTTGGTCCGTTTATAAACTTTGCAGAACCGCTCCAAGAGCAAAGAGCAACAATGTAACAATTGTAATCTCTGTTTCGGAACAACTGAATCGATTCACAGGTGTGAAAGCACCCTTAGTCTTATTATTGTCTTTATTAGATTAAAGCACATCATTCGATTACTGATGTCCATGTAAACTTAGTAAATTTTAGGCAGATCAGAATCAGGGTTTGTTGTTTATGAGATCAGTAAAATTAATGATATCGATCAATCACTTCTGTCAGTTTTGTTGAGTTCAGTGTCTGAGTACAGTCAACCTGTACAAACACCATCTTTCCATTGTAATACTGGACAAAATGTAATTTATTAAAGGAATAAAGCTAAATAGTCCTCACTTGCATCCATATCATTATCAACAGTAGAAGACAATACTATTTATTTTTATATCATTGAATAGCTAAAGTTGTCTGAAGAGAACACAGAAGACCAGAAGGAGTTTACCCAAACTGGAGCATAACACCCGATCCCTCTGAACTAGCCTACTGGAAGTTGTGTACAGATTTCAGAAATATCTGAACAAATACTTTAAAAAAACGTAGTTATATTGAGATCCCAGATGAACAGAAAAAAATTCTCAGCATAGGGTACTATTAGGAGTTCACTAAATATATCTAATGAACCAATAATCAGCCTCCTACATCCAGGAATCTCCTCAGATCCCAGTTACAAGTGAGTTTCTGTTATATATATATATATCAGTGTGACTCTAATGCATCTATAACACAGGAAAATACAGCTCAGTGAATTAATCTACAAGAGGACTAACCACAAGGTTCACTTCAATAGCTGTGAAATGACCTAGATATCTTAAATGGCATATTTTAAAACATGTTTTTTTAATTTAAATAATATTTGTAAAAAAAAAAAAAATGTTTGATGCATTCCTAAAACCCAAATGGTGTATGGATGCATTGCTGTTCCTTTACTATTAACCAAAACAGTTTAATGTATTATTAACCAAAACCTAAGATTTTAGACAAGGACAGTACTGAGAGATAGTTGAAATATATAAACATGGACGACACGGATGACGTTTTTTAGGAATTAACATGGTAACATAACCCCTGTTCAGTTTCCTAAAAACATTTTAGTAGCTAATATTCATTAAATTTTAAAGCTTCATGAAAAACAGAATTACATTCAACAGTTTGAACAGTTTGTCAAAATATGTAAAAAAAAAAAAAAAAAAAGTCCTAGCACTTAACCTGAATGTTTGTCAAATTGGATCTCAAAAGAACAGAAGTGGCTGTTGTAGTAAATGATGCCTTTATTAATGTGAGACGAAGAAAAAAACAAATGCAAACCTCTCCTGTCCTCTGACATTCCAATAGTTCAAAGCTCAACTTTATCTGAAACAGTCAAGTGTAAACAGATAGCACGACATGACCAGAAGAGGGAGCGCAAGACTAATGAACCGAGAGGGGGAGAGCTGTTACCTTTCTCTGACCCTCATCTGCTCTTACCTTCCCCTGAACGCATAAGGCTTGACATGAGACTCTCTGGCCATTGAAGCCAGAGCCTCCGTAGGCGCGGGTACCTCATGTAGTGCATTAATGGCTTAAAACTGTCTAAACAATGTGCATGTAATTGTTTGTATGTTGATTTATGTTCTTAAATGTACCAAGGGACAACTATAAATTTGTTCACATAAGACAAGACCTATAAGTTTTGCTGACTATTAAATATTTAAACTGAGTGATCAGACCACATTATACAGTTGGTCCTTAGTGATTTATAAACTGTGCTTTGATATAATAGGTAAAACCCAAATGGTGTATGGGTAATTGTATTCCGGAGCATAAATCAATATGTCAAGTCCTCGATGTATGAGGTGTATCTATGTGCATGACCTGATTTTGGAAGTATAAAAACTGAGCCACACTGATCAGCTTTGCGCTTTCCGACTTCTCTATACTGAGGTTGGTTGCCCTATATTCTCAGCGGAGGATAAAGTGAGGATTTTGTTTCTGTTAATTGTCTTATGTTTATTCTACTTTTCATTGGATTTTATTTTATTAATAAAAGTGTATTTTATTAATTATCTTCACTGGAGTGGACATTGACTTCATTTTCCAGTTACCCTGTGTGGTAAATTATGAATCTAATGTATTCCTTTTGCAAAACATTATAAACACGATCCTTTTAACTAAACTCTAGCTAAGAAATATAGAGAAAGGAGGATCCTGGTTTATCTGTTTAATTAGGGTAATTAATAAAGGAGATCCAGCACACTATGCTAATGAATCTGTAGAAAAAAGCATGAAAGAATAGACTAACAGATAAAATATGTTCCTAAATCATTGAGTAGTGATTCACCAATCATGATTTTCTTTGGTCGATTCATGATAACATTTTATTTTAATAGAAACCAAAAATAATAAGTATGCAAGCAATTTTTTTTTTAAATATTTCCCAAATTATTTTTAACAGAGCAAGGCAATGTTCACAGTATGTCTGATAATATTTTTTCTTTTGGAGAAAGTCTTATTTGTTTTATTTCGGCAAGAATAAAAGCAGTTTTTAATTTTTTAAAAATCATTTTTGGGAAAAAATTATTAGCCCCTTTCGGCAAATGTTTTTTCCGACAGTTTACAGAACAAACCATTGTTATACAATAACTTGCCTAATTACCCTAACCTGATTAACCTAATTTACTGTAATCATGGCAAAGATAAATTAAATCAGGTATTAGAAATAAGTTTTTAAAACTATTATGCTTAGAAATGTGCTGAAACAATATTCACTCCATTTAACAGAAATTGGGGAAAAAATAAACAGGGGCACTTATAATTCTGGCCAATTGGTTTTATGAAGTAATGTCTTTTAGTAATTTCCAACTTGTTCCTGACTTGTTTCCAACTCTCCTCCCAAAATGACATCGACCTCTTTGTTTACATGTTTATTTGGTGGAGGCTGGCATTCATGGGGCCATACAGGACCATCTGTACCTCGCATTTATTTCATACGGATTACAAAACCAGAGAACATTAGTTTAAGTGTAGCTGTTTATTTTTTTAAGTATAGGTTTTAAATCGTATATGTAGCAATATTTTCCATGTTTGTGAGACAAGTATTCGCTCAGATAGCAGTACATTTGCCGACCCCAGAGGGTTCATAATAACTAAGCTACAGAAACAGTCATAAAGAAGGCACGTATGGACTGAGCCCCTTCCCAGGAAAAGGACATCTATAGCAATGATTGAATCCTTTACTAAAAGACGAGACTTCCTTCGCTAGAGTGGCCATATAGGCCTTTACAGATTTCCACATTCAAATCTATACGTGTGACATTTCTTCTGTATCTTTGCTATTACATATTAAAGGGGTGATCCACTACGATCTTATATTTTAAACTTTACTTGATGTGTAATGTAGCTGTGTGAACATAAACAACATCTCTGAATGTAAAAAGTTCTAAGTTCAATGCAAAGGGAGACCTTGGTTTTTACAGAGTTAGCTTAGCAAAGCCTACAATGAACCAATTTTGGGGACTACAAAAAAATACTTCCGCCCCCTGTGACATCACAAGTTCGTTTACTGCGCATCCAGCCTGATCTCATGAGAAAACGTAAGTATTTTACGTTTTGCCAGTTTAGTGGCTAATTCGTACGAATTCGTACGAGTTCAGTCGTACGAAATGGTACGATTTTAAAAAGGAGGCGTGGCACCTGACCCCACCCCTAACCCCAACCGTCATTGGGGGATAAGCAAATCGTACTAAATTGTACGAATTAAATCGTACGAATTCATACGAATTAACCACTAAATGAAAAAGTTACGAATTGCCGTGAGATTGTGTTGGCGCATCCCACACTGTGCATGCAGGTAAGGGCCGTGGCCAGAAGCACTGTAATGTTATAGCAGAGATGCTATAAATACGTCCAAACACAGCTGTTTCCACAGAGCTTCGTCTGTTTCCGTATTTGGGCTTTTAAAGGACACGACACAAAGACAGAAGTGCCTTCAGTTCAATATTAATTATCTTCCAGAGAATTATAAAATAATCAGCAAGCATCATTTGACAAAACAGCTCCAGAATCTCTCCCAGTTCAGTGCTGGATTCGGCTAAAATCTCCTCAAAGCAGAATTTGTAAGCTACAAGTGTTTTTATTTGTTAAAATTGATCATGACATGTACAGTGTCTAGCGTTAACGGTATGCTGTAGCAATGATGTAAACAATGCGAAATGCTGCTTTGCGGGCAAATGATTTAGCTACAAATTCATATCAGCCAAACTGCTGTAACACACACTCACTCCACCAGCACGTTCGTGTCTCTTATGTGTGTGCGCATGGGGCTGCACTGACAGTCTTCAGGCAGCTGCATGTGTTTCACATCTCAGATAATGAAGTCGCAAAAGATATGTGGATGATTCATATTACTTAC